CAAGCTTTAAAACGAATTGTCCTCCATTTATGGGGACTAAGATGGTATGTAAAGTTGTCAGTTGTCCCCCACTTAATTATTTGAAACCACAGTCCTTAATTAGAAGATGCAACAACATTATTAAAAGGCTGTCACAACCCCGCCAGATGAAAACTGCTGACCACAAGCATGCAGACCCCAAATTGGCTGAAACCAGAAGATGGGTGATGCTTGAAACTTCACCTTGTTGCCAACCAATCAGAGAATTGTCCATGAGCTGATCATGCACCCTGTAGCCCCCTCTCTCACACTGCCTTTAAAACCTTTGTCTCCTAACCAGCAACTTGGAGTTCGTTTTAGGACATTAATCCACCATCTTCCCAGGTTGCTGGCCTCATGAATAAAGCAACTTTTCCCATTAAAAAAAAAAAAAAAAAAAGGCTGTCACATAACATTGGAACTCACTGAATGGCTCTATATCCTGACTCCACTTGCTCAAAATAAATACAGGGAAATTTTGTTATAACTTCTCTTTTTAATGAGCAAAAGTTAACCAGTGCCAAAGCTCCCTGGTTATGTACTTCTGTAAGTTGCAGTAATTTCAAGTAGTAAATTATTAGATGGTACTGAATAAATTCAGGACAGTACTCCTAATGGTTTAGAACTGTCTAATCTCTTCCCAGATAGTTTGTTACTACTTTCAAGAGTTTTCAAACATTTAGGAAAAACCATAGTCTTTAAAATGTTAAGCTGAAAATAATTTAAGTTTAATTTGTGATTTAAATTTGTAAAATGTATGTTTGTATTTATGCACAGGTATCTGTGGTTGGTGGGATTATGGGAGATTTTCTTCTTTTTTTTTTCTATGCTCTTAAAGATATTTTCCAAATTTTATACAATGAATTAATGATTTTTATAATCAGAAGAAGCTTCCTGAAACAATTGTGTCCTAAAGCCGTTAGGTGGGATAGAGCAAGATAGTCATCCATGCTGAGAGGCAGTCTGGCTGGGGATATTGGGGCTTAAGCAGGGTGAGGAGAATGTTCATTGTGGGGGGCCATCCTGGCAGGAGAAGTCAGAGCTCAAATAGGATGAAAAGGGAGTCGTGAAGGCTTGCGGAGGGCATCCCTATGGGATGGTACCTGATACAGGTGTTGAAGCCCAAGCCGGGTGAGAAGATGTCTATGGAAGGGGTAGCCTAACACCAGGAGTCAGAACCTGAGTGAGGTAAGGAGGACATGTGCGGGGAGCAGCCTAGCATGGGGAATTCAGAGTCTAAGCCAGTGAAGAGGGCACCCACGTGGAGGAGGGGTCAGTGGCAGCAAAGAGAGATTGGTTATGTACAGGGGGTTGATCAAATGAGTCAATGTATTGTATTAAGGATAATGGGAGCCAGGTTTCTGACTGTCAGTAAAGGGAGATACAAATTAGAGTGAGAGAGAAATTAAAATGAACCCTGTGGTGTTGCATTAAAACTGGAGGTTTCAGTGTAAACTCATTGTTTCCAATAGATAGATGGATGGATAGATAGATGTTAGATAGATAGAGATGTAAATAGGTATACACACACACACACACACACACACACACACACGCACGCATACTCACATACTCTGACTCTACGTTGTGCCAGAAGGAGGTGCTCAAAAAATGATGGGAAGGGCTTCCCTGGTGGCTCAATGGTTGAGAGTCCGCCTGCCTATGCAGGGGACACGGGTTCGTGCCCCGGTCCGGGAAGATGCCACATGCCGCGGAGCGGCTGGGCCTGTGGGCCATGGCCGCTGAGCCTGCGCGTCCGGAGCCTGTGCTCCGCAACGGGAGAGGCCGCAACAGTGAGAGGCCCGCATACCGCAAAAAAAAAAAAAAAGAAAAAAAAAATGATGGGAAATGGTCAGAGGGACACAGAATCCAGCTTAGAAAGGCTCCTGCTAACCAAATCTGGGACGATTTAAGCACTAAAATAAATAAGGAAGATAATTGATTATATTACATTGAATAAGCTGAGAATCCCTGAGTCCATACTGATATAAATGAGTGAATAGATTAAAAGTTTGACAAGGAATAGACTATTTCCAAATACATTCCCACAGAATATTTATTAATTACAAAGAGGTAAAGAGGAATTTCATGGAAGAGAAGCCCGGCAGACATCACTGATCAAAACGAACATCTGGAAGAGACAAATTGAAATCATGTTCCCCCTGATAGGATGCAGTGAGAACACAGGGTCACTTCTGTGATATTCCTGTGAAAGATGTATAACTTATGAGGTCAATTTGTGGAGAAACATCAGACAGGCCCAAATTGAGGGGCATTCGATAGAATAACTGGCCTATAATCTTTAGAAGTTCAAGATTAGGAAAGTCAAAGAAAGACTAAGAGACTTTTCCAGACTGAAGAGGACGCAAGAGAGATGAACTAAATGAAACTCCATGAGGCTAAACTGGATTCTTCTGCCATACAGAACATTTTGGAAATAACTGGGTAAACTTGAATGGGGTCTGAGGATTAGATGGCAGTAATGTATTACTGTTTATTTCCTTGTTTTCAGAGCCCTGTGGAGGTTATGTAGGAGAATATCCTTGTTTGTAGGAATTACACACCAGAGTACTTGGGAGTGATTGGTCATCAGGTTGACAATTTGCTCTCAAATGGTTCAGGAAAAATTGTTTGTATTGTAGGTAACTTTTAAGCGTGTTTCAAAATTTTTTTAGTTATATAAAAAAATGTTAAATGCAAAGCATCAGCCAAACCTCAAATATGAATATTATTTTCAACTAACAAGGAAAGTCATAGTTTTAAAGATCTCTTCTTACCACCTGCCCTTAATACAATTTTAAAGCATGCTTACTTATTAGAAAATCATTTACTACATAGTTTGAAATTTAAATCTGTATTAAAATTGATTGACCCCGTTAATGTCCCTTAGAGTTGGAGAAGTATGGGGAAGATTTCATCATGATTGCTTCATTTAATGTCTTAAAACTTGTCTTCAAATTAAAGTGATTAAAATTATTTCTCGGGCTTCCCTGGTGGCGCAGTGGTTGAGAGTCCGCCTGCCGATGCAGGGGACACGGGTTCGTGCCCCCGTCTGGGAAGATCCCACATGCCGCGGAGCGGCTAGGCCCGTGAGCCATGGCCGCTGAGACTGCGTGTCCGGAGCCTGTGCTCCGCAACGGGAGAGGCCACAACAGTGAGAGGCCCGCGTACCGCAAAAAAAAAAAAAATTATTTCTCTTTTATGAGTTGCTTATGATGTACCACTGTACCAGAAACCTAAGGGTGCAATAATAATAAACATTTATACTTTACAAAGCAGTTGCATTATCTCATTTTATCCTACTAGTCACATTCATTCATTCATCAAAGATTAAAAAAATCATTGCCTATACTAGTCTCAAGAAGTAGGTATTATTATGCTTCTTACTTTATGGTTAGGAGATTGAGGTCACCACTCTTAAGTGCAGGAGCTAGGATTCCAGCTGCAGTGATGTGACTTGGGTCCTGGCTAAAGCCTGCTACCTTAAACTGAGTCATAACTTGCCTATGACCATGTAATCCCTCCATGCTTGTTTCTTCGTCAGCAAAGTGAAAGTGTTGGACTCTATAATCTTCAAGCTCCATTCCAGCTTCGAATCCTAAAACTCAAGCCATCAATAATACTAACACCAACAACAACAAAGACAAAAAAACCAAAAACCCATAAAATGGGAGTAACCTTAACTAGAAAAGTATATAATTTATATGAGGAAAAAAAAACTACAAAAATTTCCTGAGATGTTTTTAATGACTTGAATATACAGACTTGCGTTTGTGTTTATTTTCCCATTCTCCTTTTTTGTGTTCAATTTCAGAGCCATTAATAAAGAGCATTCAGGTATTATGGTTTAGCGCTTGTGGAAGGAAGTTTGTATTCTGAGATGCTGAGTCATTAACAAATCTGCAGTTTTTTTCCTGAGATTTTTTTTTTATGGGGGGGTGTTATTCCAGGGAACGCTTTGTTCTTTTTAATGAGGATAAAGACAGATGGGTTTGGAAGAGACTTTCTCTTGTTAAATGAATAGGTCACTGCTGCTTTTTATAGCTGGAGGCTGGCAGTCTTATGGGAAATAGGCATCTACATGGTTTTTCTTTGGGGGTATGGCTACTTTATTGTTACTATGAATTTCTGTTTGATTGGTTTGAATTGCACAGCACTAGGAGTAATATTTTTTTCTTCAAAGCTCAACATAACAGCTCATGAGCACTTTTCAAAAGAGAAGAAAGTTATAAAGGAGAAGGAAAGACTGTCACAGTGAGTGTTTAGACAGTGAGGCTGATTGTTTTCAAACAAATTTAATTCATTATATGCCTAGTAATGAAGACATCTTAATAACAGAGAAAACAGCCCCATTATCTACATGCCTCTATTAACCAATTTATTTTGTTTAGGTCAGTGGGCAGGACACCATCTGTTACCAGAAATTTTCTTTTCATCAAGCCTGCCCCCATTAAGGATCCCCAGTTAAGCAACTTCAGCTGCCCTCCTGTTTAATTTCCATATTAACTCAATTCAGGGATAGGGAGAGAAAAAGGCAGCTAAGAGGATATTGTAAGTTGTACCATGCCCTCAGAGGATTTAATTTGGTCACCTCCTTGGCAAGATAAATTAGTGGGAGGAGTTTACATGTGTTGGAGAAAAGGCCTAAGGAGAGGGAGGGGCAGAACTGATGGTGGATGAGGTAGCTTTAAAGAAATTTAGAAGGTTTTATTTTTTAACTTTTTTTTCTGATAGCTTTTGGTGACTTTTGGTTTCTCCAAGGTCTCTTTTTCCAAGGCATATTTCAATTATTTAGACACAGGTAGTGATAAGAGTCCTTTTCCATACATAATAGTCTACTTTTAGGACTATGAAATATAACCAAATACATATTGGTATGTATATGTTTATATGTTTATATAAAGTACAAGTAATATACAAATGTTATTATTGTAAATGTTGGCACTGTGACACTGAAAGTCTTTGTTTTTCTTCTATCAAAGGTCCATGACTCCAGCTCAGGCTGACCTGGAATTTCTTGAGAATGCCAAAAAGTTGTCTATGTATGGTGTTGACCTTCATAAAGCAAAGGTAATGGTAACTTTGGCCTTTATTAATATGCATGTATCAGACCTGTGTCATATAATATTTCTTACCAACCTTTATCTGGGGCATTACAAAACGTTCGGAGGAGATAGTAATTCTTGTTGGAATTTTAAGTCTATCAGTTGAACCAGTCAAGTGTATTAAGTGTATCAGTTGAATTGCCCTTTTACAATTCCACCATCAGAGCGAAGTCTCACACCTAAGCAACCATAAGGATCAAAAGATATAGCACCGAGAGCAAAAGAAATGATAATTTCCTAAAATGCAGATACACTTGAAAATATAGAGTGACAGTGAGGCATGTTTCACAGACAACATCACCTACATCAGAATCACCCGGGGTGTTTATTAAATATGCAGATTCCTGAGCTTCTCCCAGATTTACTGAATTACTTTGGAGGAGAGGCTAAGTCTCCAGATTTAATGAATATCCCAAATGATCCTCCTTCATGTTTGAATCTGAGAATCATTGGCGTAAGGTAGTGGTTCTCAAAGTGTGGTCTCTGAACCAGCGTTTAGCATCATCTAGGAACTTGTTAGAAATGCTCATGTCAGGTCCCATCCCAGTCTCACTGAATCAGAAACTATGTGGGTGGAGCCCAGCAGTCTGTTTTAACAAGCTCTCCAGGTGACTCTAATGCACAGGGGAGGAACCACAGTGGCTCATTTGAGAACCACTGGGTTAGGGATTTGGAAACTTGAGCTTTCATCCTAGTTCTACCTAATACAACCTGACACAATGAATACTTAAGGGATGTCGCTTGACTTCTCTCATCTTCAGCTACTGAAATGTCTGGGGAGGTTGAGGAGTTTGTGAGAGAAAGAAAGGGCTCAAGGGATGACCTGAGGTTCATTTAGAGAAATTTAACTAGGATGCGTGATGGGGAATCAAAACCATGTCCAGTGAGAAACAGGCAAAGGAATAGGGATACTTAACCCACAGAAGGGAAAGTTTAGGAAAGATACAATGTCAGTCTTCATGGATTTCAAGGATTAACTTGTGAAGTAAAGATTTTACTATGGCTCCAAGATATAACACTAGAGCCGGTAAAATGAAAACTGCAGGGAAATACTTTTCAGTCCAGTTGGACAAATTGTCTCACAGAGCTATTTCAAAGATGGGATGGGCTATCTCAGAAGGGATTGAGTCGTCTGTCACTAGAGGTATTCCAGGTTAGGCAGAGTAATCACTTGGTAGGAATTTAGAAAAGGACATTCAAACATTTGGTGGGTGATTGGACTAAAATGACCTTTCAGGTTTCTCCCAACCTGAATATCTGTATCTGAGGTTTCTTCCTTATTTACATTCTAGTAACTAATAAAATTTCATTGCATGTTAGTGAGTTTTCTTAGGATGTTGCTCTGGATTGTTTTGGGCTGGGTACTGTAATTTCTGTGAATCTCAAAAGTAGCTGGTAGGAAGATCAGATCAGGTCCAGAACTGAAATTGTTAGGTTTTGCTTCTCAATTTCTGCTGGAGGCTGGTGTCAATTCAGTAATTATCAGGATTACATGAGGAGTCAGGCAGCATATTTCTACAGCAAATGTTGTAAAGCAAATTGTTTCTCCAAAACATATAGTTAAAAGAGAGGTGTAGTTGTATCCACAGCCTTTAAAAACTTAAGGGGACATCTTCTGGGAAATTTTGTTATGTAGTCATCGAATTGAAGCTGAATATAATTTCTTCTCTCTATTGTGCTTGTACGTAACACACGTAGGTACTAATATGTTTCTTTATACTCATTTTGGGAAAAGGAGCAGTCTAGAAGCATATAACTCGGGTCTTTTATTACTTATCTAAATAAATGGTTATCTGTAGAGATTAACTCAGGTGAAATTTATTTTCCTTGAATTACAGACATAGATGATTAATATTATATATTGAATTAAAATTTTTTCTTTAATAAAGAGGCATGCAAATATGGCTTTATTGGTAACTTACTGTTCCTTTTTGACCTGAGGATAATAGTTATAACTTAGTATACTTAAAAAAAAACTTACTATACTTAACATCAGTAATTATAAAAATGTGAGTTCTCTCATACTGAGTTTATAAGGAGTAGAGTCAACTCCTATACTTATCATGGTTTTTGGAGGGATGACCACTTTATCATAGAAAAACAAGAATTATAGTTGTGCATGTATATTTGGTAGTATACATAGCCCTATGCCCTGGCCTCCAGGAAGTCCTGGTGGTCTGCTGACTTAAACATACATGTATACGACATGCAGCTACCATAGCTACCATAGTAATTATTTGCTGACTATGATAATGATAGGTTTGAGTACTTCAGAACTGGGAGACCAAAATGCCTGCCCTAGGATTTTCATATACAGACAGGCATGGTGAAAATAAATTAGTGTCTCTTTTTGAATTATTAAGGGAAGCCTTTTTTTTTGTTTTGTTTTGTTTTTTTTGTTTTTTTGTGGTACGCGGGCCTCTCATCGCTGTGGCCTCTCCCCCTGCGGAGCACAGGCTCCGGACGCGCAGGCCCAGCGGCCATGCCCCACAGGCCCAGCCGCTCCGCGGCATATGGGATCTTCCCAGACCGGGGCGCGAACCCGTGTCCCCTGCATCGGCAGGCGGACCCTCAACCACTGCGCCACCAGGGAAGCCCAAGGGAAGCCTTTTTAAAAATTTTTTTATTCATTTACTTATTTATTGCCTGTGTTGGGTCTTCGTTGCTGCATGCAGGCTTTCTCTAGTTGCGGCGAGCAGGGGCTATTCTTCGTTGTGGTGCGCGGGCTTCTCATTGCAGTGGCTTCTCTTGCTGTGGAGCACGGGCTCTAGGCATGCGGGCTTCAGTAGTTGTGGCACCCAGGCTCAGTAGTTGTGGCTCGCGGGCTCTAGAGCGCAGGCTCAGTAGTTGTGGCGCACGGGCTTAGTTGCTCCACGGCATGTGGGATCTTCCCTGACCAGGGCTCGAACCCATGTCCCCTGCATTGGCAGGCAGATTCTTAACCACTGCGCCACCAGGGAAGTCCCAGGGAAGCCTTCCTGGAGGCTGCAGAGGCTCAGTTTTATGAGAGGAGTGTTGTGAAGGTAGATGAGGTGCAAGCCGAGTGACATTTCACAGTGGCTTTGAGGGGTGGTGATGGTGGCTGTATTACTCCTCATAGCAGTCGATTCCTTCAGTGGGTAAGATGTGTGTATGTCCATGTTTCTTGGAAAAAAGAAAAGCAGATGTTCCCTCAGTCACTAATAATGAACGAAATAATTGGTAGTAACGGTTGAAGGTTTAAGCTTAGTGTATGTTGTTACTAAAATACCTTGAAATTTCCTAATTTATCAACCTACATGAATCAAGATTTTTATAAATCTGAAGCAAAGAATTTACTAATATTTGCCGTAATAAGTTATGATTAATAATGTGGGCAGGTAACAAACTCAGTGTAAACACTTACTGAGCATGTTGTCAATAACAGAATTTGGAGTGATAATAGCAATGACTTAGATACAGTTTCCACCCTCAAGCACTGAATTTTAATTTTTTTCTAGTTGTTTTCCTCATTATAAAGGTGATATATTAATAATATATGTATATATATATATATATATAATCCATACATAATTGTATGTGCCTAGAAAATAGGATAATCCTGGAAATTATCAAATCAGTACTGGTTACTGTTAAAGAGTGTGGGAGGAGGAGGGTAGATTTTTTAAAAATTTTACACATTTCTGTATTGTTTGAATTTCTTACATACATGTGTTAGTTTTTTCATATTTGAATACTTTTTAAAAGATAATACATATTTATTGTAATTGGAAAGTATAGAAAACTGAAATGAAAAATTGTTCATAATTGTACCACCTAAAGAATGCCATTATTAACATTTTGGTGTATTCATCTTTCTTCTATGTATATTTTTTATATTGTTGGAATCAAATTATGTATGTAATTTTATCCTGCTTTATTTTGCTTAATGTTACAACATAATTATTTTCCCATTTATCTCCTAAATTCTATTTAACTGTTTTAATGGCCACATTGTATTTCACTATATGGATGAACAATAATTTAACCCTAATGCTTGGATACTCAGGTTATATCCAGTTTTTCACTCTTATAACATTCTGAACATTATCATGTGTAAAGCTTTTTCTGTGATTTGAATTATTTCCTTAGAACAGATTATAGAAATAGAATTACTGAGTCTGATTTGGACATTTTAAAGATATTTGTGGTAGGTAATAACATTGATTTTTAAATGTAGTATAGTGACAACATTTTTACATAGACCAAATAGTCCCATGGGTTATGGTTGTTAGGTTAAACTTTATTTTTCATTCATTGTATTCTTTGTAACGGTATTTGGTTGTTAATATCTTCAGATTGTCTAATAATAGTCGACTATGTTGAGCACTTTGCTCAAGACTGAAACGCTAACGCTTTTTTTCCTCAGGACTTGGAGGGAGTGGATATCATCCTAGGTGTCTGCTCTAGTGGCCTTCTGGTTTACAAAGATAAGCTGAGAATTAACCGCTTTCCTTGGCCCAAAGTGCTGAAGATTTCTTACAAACGTAGCAGCTTTTTCATTAAGATTCGCCCTGGAGAGGTACAGAATTCGTGTTTCCCTTTCCTCCTGAATCAAACACAGACCATATCTAAAACATCTCTTCATTCCTGTTTTCCTTGTTATGTCATCTATGAGGTCTCTCTCTAGCTAACTATTTAGGTGTTGATATTTTGTTTCCTAATCAGTCCCATGATGCTTCTTCTCTTCCTTCCTATTTGTTTTCTGGACAGTTCTCTTCATGTAGGTAAATGTACCATGGCCAAAAGTGAAATTTGGATAATAAACTTGTTCCTTGTTTACTCCAGGTAAAAGCTTGATGGAAAATATTTTTAAATTAAGTAGCATGAGACTTTTAAATTGTGGGGTTAAATTACTTATGTTTTATACCACCAGTCCCTTACCTTATATAATTATTTGTATATGTAGGTTCTAGTAGTTACTGGGAATGTGTCCTAGGGTCAAGTTCTAGATTTTTAGTAGAGTTGGATGTTCAACTTTGTACCAGATAACTCAGTTACTAGCTGGTGATCAATTTTCAGAATATACTAATGCTGGCCAAATTTAACTTTTATATTAAAGAGCCATCATGGTATAGCAGAAAATTGTTCAAGTAGGAATTAAATTTAAAAAGAAAGTTCTAGTGCCTACTCTGCCACCTACTAAGTAAAAGACCCTGGATAAATCTAAAGTGTTCCTTACCATTCAAGGGGGATAATACCTGCTCTGTCAAGGTTGATTTGAAGATCAAATGAGATGACAGAGGTAAAAGCTCTGAACAGGAAAGCATCGCACTAATGTAAAGAGGCTTTTTTGTGTATATATCACCATCTGCTGGTGAAAAATGGCTCATTATTTGAACATGGAAATACTGAATGTGCAGCCTTAAAATTTAGGATAAGGATTATCATTGAAGCATTTATTTATACCATAGTTATTTACCTGTGCCTAGCAAAAGTCAAAGAATTTCAAATCCAAGAGTCATTCAGTCAATAAATATTTATTGATGGCTTTCTTTGTGTGAGACACTATTCTAGGGGCTAGGAACAGTAAATATCAATAGAAGAGTCCATCCCTCAACAATCTTTTTTTTTTTTTTAACATCTTTATTGGAGTATAATTGCTTTACAATGATGTGTTAGTTTCTGCTTTATAACAAAGTGAATCAGCTATACACATATACATATATCCCCATACCTCCTCCCTCTTGTGTCTCCCTCCCTCCTTCCCACCCTCCCTATCCCAGCCCTCTACATGGTCACAAAGCACCGAGCCTATCTCCCTGTGCTATGCGGCTTCTTCCCACTAGCTATTTTACATTTGGTAGTATATATAAGTCCATGCCACTCTCTCACCTCGTCCCAGCTTACCCTTCCCCTTCCCTGTGTCCTCAAGTCCATTCCTCAACAGTCTTACAATTTAATGTGGGAAGGCAGAAAAGAAAAAAATATATATATATATATATGATAATGGGAAGTCTTTGGTTTCTTTAAATGTTAACTATATAATATATATAGTTATATATATTATATATAATATATACTAAAAATGCAAAATTCTTACTTAAGAAAGCAATAAAGTACAACAGTAGGATTTTGAGAAGTGTATATAGTATAGAAGTGTATATAGGATTTTGAGAAGTGAGTATAGTATTGTGACTACAACAGATGATTCAGAAGTAGCGTGGTGTAGTGGCAACCATGAAATTCTGGTTCTGCCACTTAATAGCTGTGAGACTAAGCAGGTGACTTCTCTAACCTCAGTTTCTTCATGTATAAAAATACAGATGATACTGTCTGATCATAGTGTTATTGGCAATAATAGGCACTAGAAGTAAATGTCAGTGTCCTTTCCATCTTATAAAGTATGCTTAAGGCAGAAAAAAAGAGGCAAGAGACTAGCAGGACAGTGTTTCCAGTAGCCCTGGCAGGATGTGGTTTACTTCAGTCAAAGAAGTATCTAGATAAACTAATGATCAATCAAAGAAAAAAAAAGGCATTTAATAATTCAATAATCTGGTTTGAGCCACAATCTTTAGTTCCTATTACTAAAAACGATTGCATAATAATATTAGTTGATTGGAGGAATCATCTGCTATCCTATTCCCTGATTATTGAGTAGTCTAGTATCCTAAATGCAGACAGTAACTAAGGAAGAGCAGTGTCTGGACAATCAAAATGTGACTTAATTGTGTCTCAGAATAATATACAGTGTATATGTGTGTGTGTGTGTGTGTTTCTGAACAAAATAACATGTGTAAATGATATAAGATGCATTCCCTGGCTTCCTTGCTGTGGAAAAAACCACTCTCAGTGAGTAAATTTCTTTTGGTAAGTAGGAAAAAATTTCAAATGATATTTTATGTCCTTAGACTAGTAACTTTCTTTTTATTCACAATGATCTCTTCTGCAGCACCATATTTCTCTGGTCCTGTATCACTGTAGTTGAATAATACTTTATGTTCCATGTTTGCTTGTGTATTTATAGCAAGAACAGTATGAAAGTACCATCGGATTCAAACTTCCCAGTTACCGAGCAGCTAAGAAATTATGGAAAGTCTGTGTAGAGCATCACACGTTTTTCAGGTATTGTCCTCACTTAAGTATTTTTCAAGGATAAATTATTTATGCATGCTTCTATTTTAAACCTGCTATTGAAATTTCCTTCTTTGCATGGCTGGCCGTCTTTTATTTAGCTCAGGTGAGATCATCTTAAGCAAGATAAAATGAGTCTGGTTCTCCTTCTTTGGGTTGAAAAACACTGTCTTAACATTCCCAGAGCACCTTTCTGTGTATGGTAGAAGGATGAGGGAAATGAGAAATAGGAACCTGTGTTTACTAGAGGCTCTGTGATTGCCCTAACTGGAGCTAAAACCAGTCCTGTCAGGAAGAGGTACCCTGACTTAGCTCCACATGGAATTTCTCTAAGGAGTGCTTAACTACCTTCTGTGGGGCTCTTATACTAGAAGGTTAAAGACGTGAAGCTGATGGTTATTTTGGTTCTAATCAACCCCAGAAAGGGAGCACAGAGAACTATCTTTGCAGCACAGTTGTATCAGATAAACAGAAGACAGAAGAAAGTTTCATCTCCTTTGCTTTTCAAGAGGACATATAATTAACCCCTTGTGTTCATTTACCAAGCATTTTCTGTGTGCTTACCCTTCGTATAGGCACTGTACTAGGCATTGGGAATATATCACTAGATAGTTCTAGCCCCTGTCCTGATGAAACATAAAATCTAGCAGACAAATAATTACTTCTGTTGAAAGGAGAGCCAGCTAGTTGTCAGTTTGCCTTTTTAAGAAAATATCTTTATTATAGAAAATTGCATGTATAGCACAATGAAGAGAATAGTATAATGAACTCCTCTGGTCCCAAACTCCACCTTCAACAATTATCACCCCAAGGTCAATCTTGCTTTATCTATATCCCCACTCACTCCTTCCTACTACTTCTCAGATTATTTTGAAGCAAATCCCAGACTTCATGCCATGTTGTTCATAAATAAACTTTACTCTTTATGAATGGCTCTCAAGAGAGAGAACCACGATAACTTTTTCTTCTATTTGTAATTTCATATCATACTTAGCACTAAAGAACACTGGACAGAAAGACAAGTCAGGGAAAATAACATTTCAGTTCTCATTTCAAATAAAACATGAGGCTACACCTTATATTTGATTAAAGAATCTTAATTATTGGCATTAAGATATTTCTTTATGTTTTCATCATCTTCTTTAAAACCAAGAAAATAGAGTTTTAAAAGAGGGTGAGGAAGAGTAAAAAGAGGTTTTTTTCCCTTTTCTTTTAATTGAAGTATAGTTGATTTACAATGTTGTGTTTGTTTCAGGTGTACACCAAAGTGATTCAGTTATACATATATATATTTTCAGATTCTTTTCCCTTATAGGTGATTACAAAATATTGAGTATAGTTCCCTGTACTATATAATAGGTCCTTGTTGTTATCTGTTTTATATACAGCAGTGTGTATATGTTAATCTCAAACTCCTAATTTTTCCCTCCCCCCAAAAAAAGAGTTATTTTGAATGTTTAATATCTATGGTATAGGTTTCAGCTGCAGCCAATGCATTTACTTGTAGGATAGCATATTTAAATCCATTGCATCAAAATAAGAGGTTATATTAACATGTAATTCTTCATTACATAAAAGAAAGCATTTGCTGAATTAAACTACCCCAAAGAGAAAAAATACTCTCTTTTTGGTAGTATTTGATGTAGCAATTTATGCATTTATTCAGCAAATATTTATTGAATGCCAGATTCATGCCAGGCACTATGCCCGAAGTGAAAACACAAAATGAATAAGTCACAGTCTTTATTCTTTACCCAAAGAGAGCTCACAGTCTCATAGTGGAGACCAGCACATAAACAGATTGTTTCAATTCAGTGTAGTAAATGCCATGACAAAAGAGAGCACAGGGTACTGCTTAGAAAGAAGATGGGGTTCCTAACTGAGTTGAAAATACACCAAATATCCTATTAAATAGGATTTAATAGGCATTGAATACCAGGCATTGAGTTTGGAGTGCATTTGACAAAATTATTATTCTAGCAGAGGGGAAAAGAGCTCTGGGCTTGAATTCTATGACTGCCCAACTTCTTAACAGCTATGACCTTAAGCAAGTAACCTTCTTTGAAGTTCAGTTTCTTTTATCTATAAAATGATGAAAATACTACAGGGGTATAGTGAAAATAGTACAGTGCTATAAAAGCGTTTTGAAAACCATAAGACCCTACCTATAGAGATATAAGATTATATCATTAATATAAGCCACAAATAAATTATACATATTGTTTTGAGAAATGACAGAATTAAAATAATGATTGCTTGATTGGAAATTTGTCTTAGTAACTATAAGGAAGCTGTGAGAATTGTGAAACTTTTTAATACTTGATTTTGTCTTTAATCTCACAACCTCATTAGAGTGAGATGATGTATATAATATATGATTATCATGTTTTTCCCCCCAGACTGACATCTACAGACACCATTCCTAAAAGCAAATTTCTTGCCCTGGGATCCAAATTTCGATACAGTGGCCGAACTCAGGCTCAGACCAGGCAAGCTAGTGCTCTGATTGACAGGCCTGCCCCACACTTTGAGCGTACAGCAAGCAAACGGGCATCCCGAAGCCTTGATGGAGGTTTGTATTGAATATTAATGATTTCTTGTTATCCTAACTCTTTAGAGAGAGATAAAGGAAGAATGGTTATCAGATGTGGTCGGGTACATTCAAACTAAGTGCAGTTATCTATAAGAGAATCAAATTAAAGAGTCTCAGTGATAAAACGAAATGGATCTCACTAATTGTCGAATTTAGTGGAATCATCTTAAGAAAAGGAGAACAGAGGTTCAGAGAGAGTAGTAACTAGATCAAGGTCCCACTGCTGGGAAGTGGTGGATTGAACACCACTAGAATTGGAATTAGAGTTCAGAATCTCTACCACAGGGTGACACCTAATGTAGTATACTGAACTAAACCCCTCTTGAACATTTTTAAATAGTTATTTTTCAAGTAGAAAAGAGGGAAGGGGCCTGCCTCACTAGCGCAATCACTGAAAAAGTTTAGATCATTTGTCATGTGTCAATTATAGACCAAAAAAACAATCCTATTACTGGAGTGTCCAAATTTTGTTTAAATAAAAGAGGGAGGAAATAAATAAGTTTCATAATTGTATATACTGACAGAAGATCTGTTTCAGTTTTTCTAAGTTTAGTCTCAAGGATTTGAGAGCATTAGCATTACTGAAATGAAGTAAAAAGCCACAATCAGTTTTTTTTTTTTTGGCCCTGCCACGTGGCTTGCAGGATCTTAGTTCCCCTACCGGGGATTGAACCCGGGCGCCAGCAATGAAAGCATCAAGTCCTAACCACTGGATCACCAGGGGATTCCCAAGCCATATTCAGTTCTTTATGCAACTAGAAAGAGGTGGCAAATAAATAAAAGTTCAGAAGGCAGTAACCAAAATAGAGTATTGCTGATTGCAGCTCTATACTATCTATTGTAAAAGCAAGGTGCATGTTACAGTAGTTACAGGCTTCGGTTCTGGAGTCGGACCTGGTTCCAATCTCAACCACTGCATTTATGATCTATCTTCTTGGGTGAGTTACTTACTCAGTGTCTCAGTTTTCTCATTCATAAAATGGGTATGATGATAATATAATATTACCTCAAAGAATTTTCATGAGAAAATAAATGAGATGATATGCTTGGCACAATGGCTGGCACTTAATGTGACCCCAAAATATTAGCTGTCATTAAAATATTGTTAATATTCTGGCCGCAGCATTATTATTTTGTTTTGTATCATCCAGAACTATGCTGCCGTATTCTGGTTTGTTGCATTATGGGAGCATATATCAGAAATACCTAGCTCACTTTAAAGGGATCAGGAATGGGTCAGCCACACTTGGAAAAGAAATCACCTAAACAGTAGAACTTTTGTGCTTCCGTACCACGAGTCATGCTTCTTTCTTTCTGATGTTTCTCTACAAGGCAGATTGTAGGCTTTGTTTATTTACTCTTTATCACAACACTAGGAATTAAGCTCAGAGATTAAATAACTTTTCTTAAGATATGATAGCTGGTGGATTGGAGTATAGGTTGGTTTAACTCCAAAATCCATGTTCTGCCAGATCCATACTTATTTACTGATTTGTTCAACTATTTTAAACTTCTGTGTGTCAGGTATTGTTCTAGTTATTGGGGATACAGCTGTGAAGATACAGACATGGTTCTGCCCTCATGGGGCTTACATTCTATGCGTAGAAACAGAAACAAAATGAAACAAGTTCAGATAGTGATAAGTGCTATAAAGAAAATAAAACAGTAATGGAATGGAGAGTGTCTGTGGATGGGGAGATTGGGGAGCTGTTTCAAATTGAGTGGTTCACTCTAAATTTAGAAGGTTCCTCTGAGGAGCCTCATTTGAACTGAAACCTGAATTATGAGAAGGAGCCAGCCATCCCCAAATCTGGGGGGATAAACATTCTTGAAAAGGGAGTATCAAGTACAAAGACCTGTAGGCAGATGTGAGTTTGGCATGTGTCTAGATCAGTGCTATCCCATAGAACTTTCCATGCTGATGAAAATCTTCTATTTTGTGATGTCCAGTTTGGTAGCCAGTAGCCATATGTGGCCATATGAACTTGAAATGTGACTGTGAAACTGAGGAACTCAATTTTAACTAAACCTAAATAGTCACACATGGCTAGTACAAAGATCTACTCCACTACAGGGGTAGTAAAGCAGAAGCTTGGTGAAGTCTGTTGCAGGATCTGAGTGAGAGATGACAACAGCTTGGACTTGAGTATTGGCGTTAAAGACAGTGAAAACCGGTCAGGGATACAATTCAGAAGTAGCGCTGACAGAATTACTGGTAAATTAAGTGTTGGAGATGGTAAGGAAAAGAAAATCAAGGTTTGTTCCTAGGCTTGATCATTTACTACAATGGGAAAGTCTGAGAGAGGAGCAGAGTTTGGGGATGTAGGAAATCAAGACTTCTCTTTTGGACATGTTAAGTTTGAGGTATGATCACTCAATCCTCATATCTGCCATATTCATGTAACAACCTCAGGCATCGCTTTCTTGTCCGGTAAATCACCCTACCTCCAGTTTATCTTTGTTTTGGGGAGTTATTATTCTTATTATTTTATCCCCATTTTTCAGTGAGAAAACTAAGGCTGGAAAGTTTAAGCAATCTGTTCAAGATCTCACAGCTAGTAAGTTCCAAAGCTTGAACAAAAACTCACGTCTGTCTGATACCATATGGCTTCTTCCACTAAATGAAATTTCATTGTTATATAGATACTATGCCTGATGTATCTTTTCTTTCTAATAGCAAAAATAACCAACAATTCAAGGGTTAGTGAGCTTTGGTACTTTGAACAAATTAGAAATTATTTAATTTTCTAACATCTTTATTGGAGTATAACTGCTTCACAATGGTGTGTTAGTTTCTGCTGTATAACAGTGAATCAGCTGTACATATACATATATCCGCATCTCCTCCCTCTTGCGCCTCCCCCCCACCCTCCCTAATGCACACCTCTAGGTGGTCACACAGCACTGAGCTGATCTCCCTGTGCTATGTGGCTGCTTCCCACTAGCTATCTATTTTATATTTGGTAGTGTATATCTGTCCATGCTACTCTCTCACTTCATCCCAGCTTACCCTTCCCCCTCCCCGTGTCAAGTCCATTCTTTATGTCTCTGTCTTTATTCCTGTCCTACCCCTATGTTCTTCAGAACTATTTTTTTTTTTTAGATACCATATATATGTGTTAGCATACGGTATTTGTTTTTCTCTTTCTGACTTACTTCACTCTGTATGAAGACTCTAGGTCCATCCACCTCACTACAAATAACTCAATTTCGTTTCTTTTTATGGCTGAGGAAAGCTTTACTTATAAAGATGCTTCTGTTACTTGTAGAAATAACATGTTGACTGTCTCTATTTTTCTAGCTGTAGAAACCTCACAGTTCAATTCAAGATTTTTTTTTTTTTTTTGCGGTATGCGGGCCTCTCACTGTTGTCGCCTCTCCCGCTGCGGAGCACAGGCTCCGGACGCGCAGGCTCAGCGGCCATGGCTCACGGGCCCAGCCGCTCCGCGGCATGTGGGATCTTCCCGCACCGGGGCACGAACCCGTGTCCCCTGCATCGGCAGGCGGACTCTCAACCACTGTGCCACCAGGGAAGCCCTCAATTCAAGATTTTAAAAAACCTTGATGTCTCTGTCTAATTGACTAATATTGGCCAGTTATATTAAATTATACACTGTGTTCCTGGCGGGAAATCTCCAAAAATTTGTCTTCAAATGTTGTAGCAATGTTTGAGTTTCCAAAACCAAAGCATGTAAAACAATTCTAAAGGAAGACAGTCAAAGCTTTGTTGGCTTTACCGTTAGTATCACAGAGTTTTGGGAGCTTAGAAAAAGTTTTTGTTTTTTTCTTTTTTTAGGTTTGTGGCAACCCTTCGTGGAGCTAGTCTACTGGCGCCATTTTCCCAACAGCATTTGCTTACTTAGTGTCTGTGTCACATTTTTTAAAAAAATTTAATTTAATTTATTTTTTATACAGTAGGTCCTTATTAGTCATCATTTTATACACATCGGTGTACACATGTCAATCCCAATTGCCGAATTCATCCCACCACGACCCCCACCCCCCCGCACCTTTCCCCCCTTGGTGTCCACACGTTTGTTCTCTACATCTGTGTCTCTATTTCTGCCCTGCAAACCGGTTCATCTGTACCATTTTTCTAGGTTCTACATATATGCATTAATATACGATATTTGTTTTTCTCCTTCTGACTTAATTCACTCTGTATGACAGTCTCTAGATCCATCCATGTCTCTACAAATGACCCAATTTCATTCCTTTTTGTGGCTGAGTAATATTCCATTGTATATATGTACCACATCTTCTTTTTTTTTTTGCGGTACGTGGTCCTCTCACTGTTGTGGCCTCTCCCGTTGTGGAGCACAGGCTCAGGACGCGCAGGCCCAGCGGCCATGGCTCACAGGCCCAGCCACTCCGCGGCATGTGGGATCTTCCCAGACTGGAGCACAAACCCATGTCCCTTGCATCGGCAGGTGGACTCTCAACCACTGCACCACCAGGGAAGCCCCTACCACATCTTCTTTATCCATTCGTCTGTCAATGGGAATTTAGGTTGCTTCCATGACCTGGCGATTGTAAATAGTGCTGCAATAAACATTGGGGTGCATGTGTCTTTTTGAATTATGGTTTTCTCTGGGTATATGCCCAGTAGTGGGATTTCTGGATCATATGGTAATTCTATTTTTAGTTCTTTAAGGAACCTCCATAGTGACTGTATCAATTTACATTCCGACCAACAGTGCAAGAGGGTTCCCCTTTTTCTACACTCTCTCCAGCATTTGTTGTTTGTAGATTTTCTGATGATGCCCATTCTAACTGGTGTGAGGTGATACCTCATTGTAGTTTTGATTTGTATTTCTCTAATAATTAGAGATGTTGAGCAGCTTTTCGTGTGCTTCTTGGCCATCTGTATGTCTTCTTTGGAGAAATGTCTATTTAGGTCTTCTGCCCACTTTTGGATTGGGTTGTTTGTTTTTTTAATATTGAGCTGCATGAGCTGTTTATATATTTTGGAGATTAAT